ATAAGTACAGCACTAACATCTGCTCATGACACAGCCAGGAATCTCAGCTGTTGTAAACAAGAAGATGAGCTTATTTTAATCAAAATAGAAGATAGGGAAAATAATGTTGACAAAGGATGAAGTGGGGAATGCTATGGGCTCAGTGCAAAACTCCTCTACCTCCTGAACTTAAGGCAGCGCTTTTGTTTTCTGTCTTTCATTATTGGATGAACTGATTCATGCAGGTGTGGATGGCCATGGATACTGAGGTAAGGCACACCTGGATTAATCAGCTCATCCAGTGGAAAAAGACAGGAATCAAAAGAGTTCAGGAAGTAGTGGAGTTGTGCATAGAGCAAATAACGAGGTTTGTGGGTTCCCTATAAAAATGTCCTTAATTTATCCTGAGAATAAATTTTTATTTATTCATTCCTACCTGCCGATAGTACGGGAGCTATTTTTTCTCCAGTGCATTACCGGCCGTTTCCCACAGCAGGAGGCTTGGGGACAGTAGGGACTCTGTAGCATCAGAGCTACAGACAGTGAATGTCCAAAACAACTTTATGTCCAAAAACCCAAACTATCCCTTTAATGGTAGCTTTACATCTCAAAATACATGCTTCACACATTTTAATTAAGTATCCTGATAATTTCCTGATTTGTTTTTATATTTTGAAAATAATTTGCTTATTCTGTCAATACTGAATAACGCTTGTATAATAAATAGTCAAAATAAAATGATATATTTTTCAATTTAGGCTTATTGTAAAAAAAAAAACCATCAAGGCCGTCATGTTAATGGAAAGATCCTCTTAATAAAAACAAAACTGAGTTGTTTTTTAATGACCACTTATAAATGAATAGTTGATTGATAGGTCAACTTGAGATTAATTTGTTAATCAATAACTGCCATCCCTAATTGTAACTATGAATATGAGTTTTGTAAATGTAGAACATTTTCTTTTACAGTTAGAAACTTAAGTCTTCACCAGCTGTTTCAAAACCATTGATGCCAAACTGTAACTTTGATAATGACCCAATATGATGAGGGCATGAATCATAAATATTTTATTTATTTTATAGTACGGAAAGACTTGATCAAGTGATTTTACTTAAGCAGAGAATATTAGCCAATAACAATAGCTATGAGAGCAGCTGACTCATTTATTTTGAGCCAAAGATTCACAGAAAGTTTAAAATATCTGACTGATTTCAATCAGATATCAATATTGGATCAGGACATTCCTCGTTTATGTTAGTGCTGGGTATCGATTCAAACATCAAGAATCAATTTGATTCTGATTGATTGAAAAACCTCTGATTGGTTGAACAATCTATTTTTTTTTTTTAAACACAGCCCTTGTTTAGACACTTTATATTTCTGAACGTATAACAGATATTAAGATCTACTCTATTTTGACCAAATATGGTTGAAGCCAAAAAAGTCACACATGCATTTTAGCAGACAGTAGTAAAATGTGCAGAAGATGCTAAACTCCCAGTACATGTTAAAGGGAAATACAATTTAAAAACATATATATTTTAAAATGTGTTTTAAAGGATTTTGCACAATTGTGTTCTAATCAACTGGTGCCAAACTAATAATGCAGGAGAATTGTCATGTGACTCACAGAATACAGTTTTTCTACAATAACAAAACTCCAAAGTTAAAATGTCCAAATGGTTTTGGATCAAATAGAGCGAAGCTGAGAAGCAAGAGGTTTTTGTTTTGTGACTCAGAAATGATTTCCTTACTTGTACTCAAATATTTAAAGAGGGTGTAAGTTAGTAATTGTGACAGACCATCACCCTATTTGGTTTCTCTCTGGGACTCTGCAGCTACAATGCACAAATCGTTTAGATTCAAAATTCCCTTCATAGGCACCAGCCATCCACAAGCTCCTCACTCTTCCCAATCAACAGAACTCAGTCTGTTTAGCTTGTGAATATTTTTTGGTTTGTTCTATTTTAAAACCAGGACCCTGGTTCAACCCGACAAACCACACCTCCCCAACATGTCATAACGAATAAGGATGAATCAGGAAGCACAGTTTACTGTTTAGCTGGAAGCATTTCAGCTGGTAATCCAAAATAATAAATATAACAAAATAGATGTAAGCTGCAGCTCAATAACAACCTCGGGTTAGAAAGCGTCAGAAAAGGTGTGAAGCTCAAAGTTTTGACATTTTAGTCACATAAAGGATCAACTCTTGACTCTCTGCAGGTCTTGTTGTCATTTGTTGAAGTTCTGTTAGATGTAAGCTGCAGAAAAGGATTCAAAAGAATAAAGTCTCTGTTTTTATGGGTAATTATTTGCTGGACTAGAGGCCCCTGCTGTCCCCTATGAATATTAACCGACAAATTAAACTGAGAAAATAAAATATTATTTATTCATTCATTTTGGGCATACAAATTAATTCCATCTGCTAATGTTTAACCTTCAACTCTTGAAGGTTAAACATTAAAAACTGTGTTCGTTAATGTTTGATTTTAATGCTGTTTGGCAGATATCGAGACACAAAAAAACCTTAAGGAAATTCTTAATCTGAGAAGCCTGATGGATTATGTGTAGCACACTGGTTTATTTCTATTAATCTGGGAATGCTTCAACCAAATGTGTTCAGGGAGAGACATTTACCAGAACCTTGCAAGCTGATTGGCTAAATCGACACCTAATGCCCGCCTACCAAAGGTTGGTTTGAACCAATCACAGTAACAAATGAAACGGCAGCAGACACTATGAGAAACCGCAACCATTTATGCTTTAAAACTTTTGCTATTCCTGTTTCAAGAACGACATTTTGGAATCTGACAAATGCTCAGCAGCTCTTCCTTTAGTCCAGGCTATAAGTCCCACCCTAAACCATCATACTGCAACGTGATTGGCCGCCCTGTCTTGGATCGGTCTGAGCTGCTGAGGCGGGAAATGATGGATTCTGTGGTTTGAAAACACTAAAAATACCAAACCCAAATATAAAGTTCTGATGTCTATTATGAGTCTAATGAAAGAAATAGCTAAGGGTTGGGGGAATGGGATTTAAAGCAGAAATTTCAATTATTTTGGAATTGTTTACATTTCTATTTGATTCAAACTCATTATTTAACAAAGATCTATCTGCACATTTATTTCAAATTGGCTGGAAAACTAAACTGGGAAAATAAACTAATTTTTTGCCCTCAACAGAAGAGCAATTGAAATATTTAAATATATGGTTTTATTTGAGAAATACCAAACTTTGTAACTTAATGGTAAATTAAATTAATATCAACATTAAAGGCACATTTTGCTGATTAGAGGGTTACAGACTAACAAAATGATGGTGAAAAAGGTCCAACACTGATTAAAGGTGGTTTTCTGAAACCTTTTAAATTCAGTTTTTCTTATGATTTGTGACTTTTAACTTTTTACAAGTTTTAATCTTAATTTAGAATGATAAAAACCTTCCACAGTTGAATCTATCTCTGTCCGTCAGCTACATTATATGAGTTATGATGCTGGAAATCAAGAGGTTAAGATGTCATCTGCCATCTTACCAGATGATGCAAATTCTCAGTGATTCGGAAATTTAGTTTAATAAAAAAAACACTTCACATTAAATGCATCTCATTTTCCCGACTCATCCAGAAAATTCCTTTAAACAATTTCAGAACCTTTTCCTGACTTCATTGGAACACTTTTAATCTGATTTTCAATTATTTATTTCACAATTTAAGCCCCCAAAAAACAGCTGAAATTAATAAATTAAACCAAAAAAGATGTTTTAACCAAAATGAGCTCAAACCAACAGAAAATATTTGGTGTTAAAATCTGAATATTCCTTAAATCTACTTGAAATCTAATCAAATCTAGTTTTTTCTCCAGGTGCACAGGATTTATATTGTTAAAGCACTATACATTACAGTATTTTATTGTTTAACTCCTCACTATGATGATATTCTTATACCCTTTTCTCAGGTCCACATTTGTGCGACCATTTCTTTTATTAATCTTTTTGCTGTTGTAAAGACCAGAATTTCCCCATTGTGGGACAAGAAAAGGATTTTCTATTCTATTCTATTCTATACTACACTACTCTATTCTAATCTATCCTATTCTAAACTACTCTATCTTATTCTATTCTACTCTACCCTATTCTATTGTATCCTATGATATTCTACTCTATCCTATTCTATAATATTCTATTCTATCCTATTCTACTCTGTCCTATTGTATTCTACTCTATCCTACTCTACTTCATCCTATTCTATTTTACTCTATCCTATTATATTCTATCCTATGATATTCTACTCTATCCTATTCTATTCTACTCTATTTTACTCTATTCTACTCTATCCTACTCTATCTTATTCTATTCTACTCTACCCTATTCTATTCTATCCCATGATATTCTACTCTATCCTATTCTACTCTATCCTATTCTACTTCATCCTATTCTATTCTACTCTATCCTATTATATTCTATCCTATGATATTCTACTCTATCCTATTCTACTCTATTTTACTCTATTCTACTCTATCCTACTCTGTCTTATTCTATTCTACTCCATCCTACTCTATTCTACTCTATCCTACTCTACCCTATTCTATTCTATCCTATGATATTCTACTCTATCCTATTCTACTCTATTTTACTCTATTCTACTCTATCCTACTCTGTCTTATTCTATCCTACTCCATCCTATTCTATTATATTCTATCCTATTCTACTCTACTCTATCCTATTCTACTCTACTCTATCCTATTCTACTCTACTCTATCCTATTCTACTCTATCCTATTCTATTCTACTCTATCATATTCTATTTCACTCTGTTCTATTCTATACTATTATATTCTATTCTACTCTCTATTCAGAGGCAACATTTATATCTACTCTTTACCATAAATGCAACGGCTTCAAGCACAGATGTTTAACAGATGTAAAAAAAAAAACACACAAATAATCCAGGTGTTTGTTTGTGTTCAGCCAGGAATCCCTTTTCTCCACCCCGGCTTGTTTTTATGTGAGCAGCGGTACTTACTGTCAGCGGCGGCGGGCCGAAGGCAGCAGGACAGCGCCAGCATCAGACCCCCGAACAAGGTCAGGCAGCTCCCTTCCATCGCTGAACGCCTAAAACCTGCGGAAAAATGAGCTGCGAATGTGGAACCGCGGGGAAAACTCAACCACTGCGGACAAAAAAAAACCCTATTTCTGCCCCCAATATCCCACCTTGTAGCCGTTAGCCGGCTAAAGGAGCTAATAGCCGCAGACTAGCCAGGCTGCTCTCACGCTTCCTAACGGGAGTCCAGTGGAGCTCCAGAAAGCAGCTTTTATCCCGCTGAGCAGACGCAGCGTGCTCATAGCTCACCCTATCCCTGCATTGACGGGCAGAATGGAAGCATGGCGGCGGCTAAACTAGCGGGGATTCCTCGGTGATCGTAATCCACATCTTCACACTCCATATCAGGAGACAGAAATAAAAAAATACCATCGATGCTCCGCGGATGGAGGGCCTTCTGGGTCAGCTCAGTCTGAGGTGGAGGTAGAAAAAAAGATGGAGCGGGGAACCCGGAGGCACGCAGCCCCGTTAACTGACCGACGCGACGTCTCTGTGGAAATATCCACGACAAAAATCTGGTCTCAGACCGATGCCTCGTTCTCCTCCTCCTCCTCCTCCTCCTTAACCGGTCATCACACGCGCACACACACACCGCCTTGTTGGAGGAGACGCCGTGGTTGGGTAATGACTTCAAACAAACAAAAATAAATAAAAATAGAAAATAAAACCCAAAAAGCTTGTGGAGTGTTCAAAGATGTGAGCTCCCTCTGCTCTCCGAACAGCTTAACACTCAGATAGTCGCTCTGTCTGCAGTCTGCGGCGCGCGCTGTAAACAAGGCGCCATGCGCACAGATCGTCTCTACCTGACAGATGAATCACACAGCTGTACGGATCAGGAGGGCGTCGTTCCCACTGCAGGCTAGCTTTAGTTACCATGGCGACACACCGTGCATAAAAAAAACTGTGATTTGTAAGGAATAACTTTGTTTTTGGCGTTTATGTGAGCAGATCAGCAAAGTTCACAATTTTCAACATTTTAAATAAACATAGAGTTCTAGACAGGGGCCAGTGCCCTTGTAGAACTGGCCCTGGCTGCTTTATTTAAGACGGAATATAAACTTATGATAAATTCATTATATGCATTTGCACAGACATCACAAATGTTTATGATTTTTACATATTTTTACAGTTTTATGTTGGCTCTGAAATTGACTGGCAACGTGCCCAGGGTGTACCCTGCCTTCCACCCATAGACTGCTGGAGAGAGGCACCATGGATGCATGGATGGTTTTATTTGGACAATGATGTAAAAATGTTGCATTTTTAGCCACAGTCACATTTAGATATGATTACAGTTTTAACCTTCTTTGTTTGAAGTTTCCAGAGCTGAAAATGTTTGGTTCACTGTATAAGTGAAACAATGAACCGTTGGAGTGTTTTGTGCGTGTGTGTGTGTGTGTGTGTGTGTGTGTGTGTGTGTGTGTGTGTGTGTGTGTGTGTGTGTGTGTGTGTGTGTGTGTGTGATTCTTTTGTTTTGTGTCCCCATGAAAAAAAGAGTGGCCCCACTCTGTGCACATGGTAAATCTGGTATGCAACTGCTACTGCAACTGATTTAAAATCAATTTCAACTTCAGTTAAATTTGAAATAACATGAGCTAAAATTGCATCATTTAAAATTTGAGAAAAAAATTATGAGCACAATGAACAATTTCGCATCGAAAAAATAGTTAAAATACAGGGAAAAAAAAGGTCTGGTTCCAATTGCCCCCCCAAAAAAAGGCAGAGTGAGACCTCTCTGTTCCCAGGCTAAATGCACAGCAGTAACCACTCCGCTTGTTTTACTGCATGGTGTTCAGGAAACCTGGGATGCAGATCCAGGATCGGGTTTGTTTTGCTGCTCAGAAATGTCCAAAGCAGTCCTGCTGCAGGCACACAGCTCCTCTATGCGGGTGGCGGGTCTTTTGAGAGATCAATCCTTCAATTGATGAAGTAAAATGTTAAGCTGCATTTTTATCCTTTACAAAGATTTATTTTATTTGTTATCATTCATATCATATCAGCTATTTTTATAATTGCAAAGTTATAATATATGAAAATGCGGAATAAATACGATATGAAAATCGACATAGCTTATTTATTTAATGTAAGACATTTTAATTAAAATAAGACTGATTTTATTATATTTTTAAGACGTTTTCATTTTTGCATGTGGCAAATAATTATTTTTTTTTTACAGCAGAGTTTTTAGGACTTGCTTAAAGCTGCAAAGTGAGTAATAATCAGTAATATAAAGCGTCACCAGCAGCATAAGAACCAGGAACTAAATGGTCCTCATCCTTATGACCAATAATAGTAACATAGAGATGGTTAGAGGTAAAATAAAAGATGGCAACTGAAATATCTAAAACGTCATTTAATTGGTGTGAGACACGATAATATTGTAAGGGTAACATTTTTCTTTTTTTAGAGCTTTAACTTACATAAAATACAAGGAGAGTAAATGTAAGAATCGTCTTTTCACTTTCACTGTATGTAAAATAATAATTTGTTCAGTTTATATATATATATATATATATATATATATATATATATTCACCTTAAGTTTCTGAAATTTTACATGATTTATTTATGCAAAACTGAGCTTACCAATTTGTCATGTCGCAACGCTGGACACCAAAAGCCTGCCATCTGGAGGACGAAATTAGTCATTGCAATCATCAAACTAAAAGAAGTATGAGTACGTGAGTAAAAATTAGAACACCGGCAAGGCAATTTAAATTGCATTACATTATAAATCATTTGACCAAATGTGCAGTAAATCGTTAAAAATGACAATTAGGTAACCAGCCAACCATCAAAACATCAGAATCATCACATAAAAACTATTAAACAGAAGCTTGTAGTTAGAGTGGCTCAGGTTATCCTGAGGTGTCTTTATAGTTCTGCTGCTATAGGCTTGGACTGCTGGAGGACATAGGGACCCCTTTTCATCATTCTGACTCATTTCAGCTCTGTTCTCCCATTCAAGCCTTGGAAACCAAGTCCAGTGGATTGTTTTTTAAACTTTATGGAATGAATATGACCTGGATGACTGGGAATCTTTATCAGCTATTCTCCCATTCTGCAGTATTTTTTTTTATTTCAATCTCTAACGTTATGCTCTCTACTTTTTCTCATAGTAACTTCATCATCATAGTAGCTGTGACTCCATCCTGGAGAGAAATATAAGCTGTGCTTCTGCCATCAACACCTTTGTTTATAGACGGTGCAGCCTGGCCTGTTTTTCAGTGTTGTCCTGTTTCCCTCATTGTGCCTGGCTGGATGTGATCTCTTTTCTTTTTTTTTTTCTTTCTTTTGTAGCAGCACTAGTGGTTCGTTTTAGTCTAACAGGAAAGGGGGTATGAGATAGGCAGACAGACACGGGGCAAAGGACCAAAGGTCTGATTCGAACCCAGGGGGTAGTGTGCGCTAACCGCTGCGCCACCTGCATGCCCAGATGTGCTTCATCCTCTGACATGGGAGCTGGCTCAGAGCTCGTCTGCCTGGCTGTGTGTTTCCTGGACGGGGCCGCCTGTGGAGCTGGTTGACAGTTGCCTTTTGTATCTATGCTTCTTTCTGTATGTCTCTTTCTGTGTCCCTGAACCCCAGTCAGCCTCTGCAGATGGCCGCTCACACTGAGCCTGGTTCTGCTGGAGGTTTCCTGCTGTTAACGGGAGTTTTTCCTCTCCACTGTCGCTACAAGCATGCTTGGTGTGAAGGAGTACTGTAGAGTCAATGAGTCAATCAGCTGGTTTTCCTTTGATAGAAAACTTTGAACCAATGTGACTGGATGATCTGGTTTAATTGTCTCCATCAAGTGCCAGAGATGACAGTCGCTGTGAATTAGCACTATATAAATAAACTAATTTGAATTGAATCGATACACATGATAATCACAGGGAAACGGTCAATGTGTGATAAGATATTTTGTTTGGAGCAGCTTTTCTCCTGGATTTGTTTGCAGACTAAAAATCAAAGGCAGCTCTAAACATGTTGGTCTTCAGCCTTCATTTATAGGAATGTAGGTTTTTTTGGCTGTTTTGTAGTTTTCTGGGAGTTTGTTCCAGATTTAAGGTGCATAAAAACTTAAAGCTGCTTCTTCATATTTAAATCTGGTTCTGGGGATACAAAGTAGACTGGAACCAGAAGACCTGAGTCTTTTGGAAGGTTGAAATAATGATATGAAGTCTCTAATATATTGTGGTGCTAAACCTTACAGCAATTTCACAAGAAAAATAGAGCATATCTGTTGGGATCTGGAGAAGTTCCACCTTTCTCCAGCAGAGTCCGCCATGGATCCTCCTGAGCTGAGCCTTCGACACACCTGAGGCGCATCTCATCATCAGGAGGATCCTGCAGTATATAACCGGCCTTCAGACCTTGCCTCAACGCCGCAGTGTTTATCCAGTTTGGTTAGCACCTGACCCTAGCTTCTCCTGAGAACCTTCGTTGCTTCAGTTCCCTGGTTGGATTCTAATCCCTCTTTGTCTCTGCTTACAGGAATCCTGTTTCCCTGTGAGCTCAGGATGAGCTTAACCTGCCGAGCCTGCCCTCTGAGCCAAACCTGAAGACTCTTCTCTGGATTCTCATGCTGCTCTGGACAAAGAGCTGGAAACCCAAAGTCAAGGTCTGCCCTCACGCTAGAAGCAAGACGCTGAAGCGGTTACAGAACTCTGCTGAACTAAACAATCTCTGGACCCAACAGTTCCTCTCTCAAAGCCAAACCCGGACTCCTCGAGGTATAAATCAGAAACTCTCAAATCCAAACTCATCTGCTCCCAAGCTAACTGAACTGTCATCCTCACAGACTCCAGTGAACCAGTCCCCAGGCCTGAACCAGTTCCTGTGTTTATTGCATGTGCTTGTGCTCAATAAAACTTGTTAAACTTTTCATCTGTTTCCGTGGTGTTCTGCATACTGGGCTTTTCTGAAACCCATCATGACAGAAGCAGCGTGATGAGTAATAGAACAAATAAGGGAATGATGTAAGGTAAAGCACATAGATGTGGAAATGTAGATTAGATCTGAGGACCTGATGGATACTAACAATAAACTGAAGGCTTCAACAAAAGGGGGAAACAGACAAACAACAGACAAGAGAGGAAACACAGGTGCATAAAATCTACTAATTATCAGATGTCTTTGCTTAAAGGGTGAAATGATAAACCCTAGAGAAAGTGAAAGTGAAGTGAAAATCCCAGTAGATCAGCAGTTTCTGAAATACTCAGACCAGCCCTTCTGGCACCAACAATCATGCCACGTTCAAAGTCACTCAAATCACCTTTCTTCCCCATACTGATGCTCGCTTTGAACTGCAGGAGATTGTCTTGACCATGTCTACATGCCTAAATGCCCTGAGTTGCCGCCATGTGATTGGCTGCTTAGAAATTAAGTGTTAACGAGCAGTTGGACAGGTGAACCTAATAAGCCTCTAAAAGTAATCGATACATTTTAATAATTCAAAAATCACATTTGAAAAACGTTCCCTGCTGATATTTTTTTAAATAAGAAAAAACTAAAATAAACTAATCCAAGAAAATGAGAATTACAAGATGCAAATATTTTACAGTCTGATGATTACAAGAGTAGATGTTTTAATCTGTAACTTTTAATTTGACTGTTGGGTCCAAAACAAGCCCAGTACAAACCCAAAATAATAATACTTCCACTGTGAGCATGGAAGTAGGATTAGCATTTTATTGGACTGTTTGTTTGTTTTTTCCAGATGAAAACCCTTTGTCTTGGTGGAAGCGCTTAACAAAAAGATAATTAAGGTGATAGAACCACTTAGTGTTGGCTGAATAACATTTGAAATCTCCTAGAAAAATCATAAATCTTTTCTTTCAGCAGAATAATTAACCAATGCAAACAACAAAACCTGTGTGGTTATCTCAATAAGGCTGTTCAAAGGAGATGCCAAAGAGAAGAAAATGACTGCCATGTCAGGACAGGGTCCTTCCAGCATGGACAACATCTTATGGATGACGTCGGCTTTAAGGCTAAATCTAGTCGCTCCGTCACAGTCTTGATTTTTAGAAGTGGTTGTTGAAAGTTTGGCTGTGTTTGATCGGTCTGATTTTGTCCCAGTTTAGTCCAATAATAAACGTTGAAAAGACGCTGCAAACCCAGTTTTGAACTTCTTTTTAACGATCTGAAAATTTGAGCTTTTAACCTTTCACTTTTCAACTAAATGTAGACGTTGTTCGGACGTAAATCATGTCATCCTTTCAACGTCTTTCATTTCAGTTTTGCTCGGTGGGATGGACAGTAGATCAGAACCAAGCCTTACTGATAGAGGTGACATTTAGACTGGGATTTCTGAGGTTAGAGGCCCAGGTTGAAGAGGTGGAGAACTAGCAGCCGTTGATGTTTTGAGAGAAGCAGACAGTAAACAAAGCCATCCCCAAAGGAGGCCCTGGCTGTTTTGATCATCCCTGTAATTACAGGGTGCTTTCATCACTTTGCAGAACAGGCCACAGAGGCATTATTTCAATGCCACACATTACCTCAGCCCTGGCAGGCAGCACTTGGCATCTATCGCATTTTGTCAATTATCATTTGGTGGGGGGGGCATTAAAAATTGAAGTGAACATCAGTGGCCACCCAAGAGTCCAAATACAGTGAGTCACTCTTTAACAATTGGTCAGTGTACTGACATGACCCCACCGTGCCAGAGAATGCTGTGCCTGTCCACTTACATTTGTTAAGTCCCTATTAAAGTCCTCATCAAGGAGGCCGGCGTGCCCACCTACCTCGACTGTCCCAGTGAAATCCATTCTCATCTCGAACTCATGTGGAAATAAGCCTGTTTACCACCAGCGGGTCACACATGCTAATGAGCGTCTGTTTGTTTTCCACTGTGCTCACGCAGGAGGAAAGGAATTTGGGAGGAAATAATGGATGATATGCAGACAACAACCCAGGTGGCCCTGCAGGACTAATGATGATAAAATGTACCACACAGGAGAGAGAGTGGAACATTCACTCAAATATTTTAGTTGTAGCATTTTGGGGGGGTCAGCCAACTTTCAGGCCCTATATACAGCCCTTTGGCCTTTCATGTAAGGTATGATATGAGTTCTGGATGGTTTTCTTACACATGAAGAGGTGAATTATTCTAAATATTGATCATATGTTATAAAACTGATGATAAAAAAAACATACATAGATTGATGATTTTTACCCCAGGCCCTATTACATTCTGGTCACTACTGCACTTTATTTTGGTGATGATTACCTGCTCCAACTGTAATATCATTACAATGTTGTAAGCGGTATGCAGCAAAATCTAATTTTGTATACACCCCGTGCATAAAAAATGACAGTAAAATTTGTCTAAGTCTAACAGGCGATTTTCAAACCACTGTTGAAAACTATACTCAAACTAAGAACCAGAATGCTGGTATTGTTGGACCTCAGTGCATTGTTTAAAAATATCGATCACTACATTTTTAGAGCTTGGAAAACTGGCAACAGGCATTAAAAGTTTCATTCTAATTCAGAGTTTTTATATCCTGGATGACCGATAATCTACTTCAGACTCATCTCAGTGTGGTTAGAAGTTGAATTCTCTCTGCTGACACATTATATATATAATTATTTATTGTTTGTGAGTAATTTGACATCAAATTAGGCTCCATGTTATTCATTCCTTTGTATGAAAACCTCTGGGCTATGACATCAGATTCATTTGACATGAGCTATAATAGAACTAATTCAATGGACAGCCTATAATAATGGGATAAGTTCTGTTATAGCAATGTTAGTTTACATACATGTGAGGTCCTTCATAATCAACATTCTTTCTCACTAAATGAGAAATATTTATCCACAGTGCATTTTTCCAAAGTTTCCAATGGTCCTTGGGAAAGTCTGGAAAGGGAAGTTTCCCCCCCCCCCATGGTTTTGGACAAGAAAAGAAAAAAAAAGGAAAAAGACCACATTAATTGATTGTTACTGTAAAGCTTTATTACCTATCCCATTGTCCCAGACTCTAGTCTATCAGTTTATCTATTCCAATAATTAATCCATTCTAACCAATTTAATAATTGCCATTTTAGATCTCCAAATAGCATTTAGAGCTGATTTTATAGAGTTTAAAAAGTAGTGAAACATTTATGAAATGTATGGAAGATGGAATACTTAAAAAACTCCACATGAGATGGCACACTAGACACAATGACTGTTAAATTATATTGTGGCAGAAGAAAGATCCAAATCTTGCAACAAGTAAAAGAAACTTAAATGGTTTGGATCACATCAAAGGATAAAAAATGGAGAAGCAACCTTTAGGTCTTATGCTCTTCTGATTTGGATCAATCTCCCAGGAAACTGTAGTTCCTGAATTCTTTAAATCGGTTAAATCTATTTATATAGGCTGGTCTTGGATTGCACTATTTAAACATTAGTTGAGTTGCATTCCAACTTTCTTTATCCCATTTTATCATTATTCATTTTATTTTTTATTTTTAAATGATTGTATCAATTTCACTATATTATGCGTTTTTTACTCAGATACATATATTTCTTATAACTTCCAGTTTTAAAACTGAGCCACTGTTACACAATGATTAGTGGAAAAAAATAAAATAAAAAATACAAAACTTCTACGAGCCCCTTACCTAAATGTATAAAATATTTAAAAGAATACTAAAAATGACAAACGTTCAATAGGAATACCGGAACATAAAGATATGATTCTGGTGAAAATCGACTCATTTTCGATGGAACGCAGCCGGACGTGACGTTTACTTTTCCGGCCTTCCAAATACCACTTAGCATTCAAGCTAACAACAGTTACTAATCCCACATTATTTTTGCTCTGTCGTTTGGTGACATTAAAGAACAAACATGATAAAAGCTATATTGATATTTAACAACCACGGGAAGCCGCGGCTGATCAGATTCTATCAATATTTTGTGAGTATTTTCAGATGTTGCTCTTTCAACCGGTTAGCATCTTCCGAGTTTGCTAACGACCGTTAGCTGGTGTATAAACAGTGAACAATGCAACCCGTTATCATCTTAGAATATTATTTACATGTTCACTTGTGGTTTTCTAATAGACATTTACGATTAAGATTTTCTCTGGGGAACCAGATACCAGATACTTTGGGACTAATTTTCAAGAAAATTGTACAAAACAAAACAAAAAAACCCCCATCTCTATTCCTTTCAATGTGATTCTGTTGTGTAACTTAGTTCAAATATTCTTTTAACAACCTGAAACCTCTAAGATTGATATTTGTTACACTTCATTCAAAACCATTAGTTTGTTCTTCCTAACGTTTAGTGACCATTAAGAACCGTTGCTGGGTCGAAGAGTCACAGGCATGTCAAAGACTGAAGCCAGAAAAGTCATTGCAAAATAAGGTGACTGCTCACAGAGAGCTTTATGCAAGAAAATGAATGGAGAGTTGGATGAAGGAGAAAATTCTGGAAGAAAATGTTGCACAAATATGAGGGATGGTTGCATCTTTGTGCAGCTTGAGAAGCACTGCTCATTCAAGAGTTTCTGGAGAACAAGCACTGCTGAGCCTTTGAGCCATCACCTACCTACTCGGCAAGAGGCACCAATTCCTGTTTGGCAAGCAACTTGCCTGACCTAAACCCCAAACAGAACCTGTGGACTTTTGTCAAAATGAAGATGGTGGTTATGACAATGGGAAACAATGCAGGTGGTAGAATGCTGTGATTAAAGCAGCCGAGCCATTATAAAGTCAGCGTTGTGTCCCCTGTAAAACACTGACATAGTGTTTGGAAACAGCCATGTTAAGATATAATATAAAACGAAACAAAACGTTTGGAGGAAGAGTTATTCCTCCAGAATTAATAGGACAAATGGTGGCTAAGTGAACAGCAATCTAAAGGGCAAAGGATCCAGCATCTTGTTAAAGTTAATAGACTAATAAACTTGACAAAGCGGATTCCACCCTGCATCTGGAAAGGAAACTGTGACTATGCAGTGAAAATCAAAAACTACCTGTAACATTTCTGAAGTTGTTTGCTCCTCACCGTGACTTTCTTTTCTTGCAGTCGGAGGACATGCAGCAGCAGATAATTCGAGAGACTTTCCATTTGGTTTCGAAGAGAGACGACAATGTTTGTAACTTCTTGGAGGGTGGAAGGTAAGTTTTTTTTCATATCACTGTAGATCAATTCCTTACACACAAATTTGATCTTTCCAATCATTTATTCATTTATTACTATGACTTTAATCTCCGAAGTCTAAAGTATAGATTCCCATTAAGTTTATGGTAAATAAAACAAATTCTTGCGACAGACTTATTAGTTTATGGCCTGTTTTATATTTAGCAAAGTATCTCTGTTGAATATTGTATTTTTGAGCAACTGCATCCCTAAAATCTCAAGCTAAATATCAACATAATGAACTGACTGAGTGGCTTGTAGTAACTTCTTTTAAACAGTAGATGGCAGCAACGCAAAGCTTTCAACCTTCTCCTTTAATCAAAATAATTAATTTAAATGTTCAGCAAAGACAACCTTTACTTTTTTCTCTCTTACAGTAAATGAAAACCTGCCTCTGCTTTATCTTTTAAGTATATTTATTCTCAAATCTGCTTTCAGTCTCATTGGGGGCTCAGACTACAAGTTGATCTACCGGCATTATGCTACCCTCTACTTTGTTTTCTGTGTTGACTCGTCTGAGAGTGAGCTCGGTATCCTGGACCTGATTCAGGTAAGCTGCTATCTTTTAGTGTAACTGTGTGAAGATGAGTGAAAGTTCACTTAAAGGAATCGTTTATTTTCTTTCTTTAGAGATTCTGGAAATAGTTTTATCTTATTACCTATAGTTGATCAATCTGATCGTTAAAGGCAGGAAAGAGGATTCTGTGGTGGAAGATATGTCCATATAATGAGCCACTACTAAATGTTTTCTTTTGCCTGTTTTAAATTTTAGGTTTTTGTGGAAACTCTTGATAAATGCTTTGAAAACGTTTGTGAACTGGACCTTATATTCCACATGGATAAGGTGAGTGACGGTGCTTCTGGTGCTCAAACCTGTTTCTCTATATTTCTTCTGCATTCTGCCACTTGTATTTCTGCAAAAACAATCTTAAATCATGGCAGAGATTTTTAAAGCAAAAGGGCTTTTTTTCACTGCATGGTAAGCTGCCTTTATGTGTTAAAGATGCACAGTCAGTTTTATATTTATACACCACTTGCTCTAAATGTTTTTCACTTGTACTGTGCATGCAACAGGTGATAAATACATAGGTGATGTTGCTAAGCCAGTTAGCCCCTCATAGTGGAGTTGTGAAAATACTGAAAAAAAGTCAAGATTCTGTGTGAAAAAAAATGCAACAAAAATGTTTGATCCCAAGCGGGATGAGACTGGAACAGTGCTGAGAATGGGAAACAGCATGAATGTTGGTTGAAGCTAAAGCTGCAGAGGCGTTCAGAAGTGGGTGCAAAGTTGACGGGTTAAAGGGGAACACCGTTATTACTTCATGTTCTACTCACCCATATGAGTTTGTGTCATTTAAAGCTGTTCTGAAGATAACGTCTTCCTATGGGCAACGACTTGAAGGCACAAACTAAACTGTTCATCATTTATTCTTTATGGTACGCCAGCATTCAGAACATGTAGGCCAATCACTGTCCCCCAGACATCCGCGGTTATATTTTTCATATTTATATATTTTTTTAAACAAAGCGGAGTGTGTATGACGTGTATGCTGTGCGGTCAGGCTCTGCTTAGTTGCTGCATTGTCACCGTCTCACTTTCTGAAAGTTCTGTGGAACTGCGAGCAGATGGCGCCACATCTTTTTTATGTCTGCTAATCGAACCTGCTGCTGAAATTCTAGGTTCAAGAAGGACTAAATCTCAACACCTTATTCTGAACAGGTGTGAAATTTGACTCTGACCCTTTAAATAAGAGGTTGTGTCGCTGCTTTTTTTAATCTCACCTTTTTACAGTTTAAAGCTGTTAAACGTTGTCAGTAAAACAAAGCAAATTGGTTTCTATCTGAGCAGATCTAACTGTAGAAAGTCTCAGTTGCGCTTCTCCATATTAATATTTATATTTCTTAAGTTTCACTCTATAACAACAAATAAATAAAAGTAACAAAACGCAATTTAAACTCAGATCCAAAACCTTGATAAAAAAATAACCCAACTTTTTCACTAGTTTATTAAATTTTGGATTTTTTTACTTGAGTTATCTCAGAAAACTACAAGCGGGTAAAGTTCTGACCCAAACATTCACCAGCATCCAGATTAGGGCTGCAACTATTTTGCTTAACTATTAATCCGTCTTTTTATTTTTTTTGATTAATAAATTAATAATCTGATAGCAAAAGCTCCTTAAAAAAAGTTTTCACAGAATGAAACTAGGTGAACCTAAATCTTTTTCCACTCGAGGAGTTCTGATAGAGCAGATTGACAGACTTAAATGTTTTTTTCTATCTTAAATGCAGAATTTCTACATATTTTTTTCACAATCTTGGAATGATTGCTGCTCTAAGTAGGTCGCTCTGTCAACTAAAGGTACGTTCTAGAGTCTCTACACTCTAGTTAACAATTAATCGATTACTAAATTAGTTGACAATTATTTAAATAATCGATTAATCACAATTAATCAGGTTAATTGTCTCAGCTCTAATCCAGATTAATTCTTTATTTAAGTCTTATATTAACATCCATTTTGCTCTTCTTTATCAAATCTCCTCCAAACGGGATCAGGAACATCTCTGAATCCTTTATGCTCCTCTCAGAAGGTGTCCTTTCACTCACACACCTTGGCTTATCAGTAGAAATCAGGCTTTTATTGTTTGTTTGTTTTTTCCACTGGAAAGAAAATCTCTGCTGCTCAGTAACCTTCAAAACTTTACGAAGCTTCATTCATTTTAGAATGTAATTAAAAGTCCTCCTTGCTGGATAACTGATCAGACACATCAGCGGCCATCTTGGCGCCGTCAGTAATTTGATGTAACATGGAGCTGCTAAGTTTGTCGTTAGGAATGTTGCCAGCATATAAATATTAACACACTCACACATCGATTATGTTTACTTGCAGAGTTCTGGTAATTGAGAGACAGTTAAATAAGATTAAAGAGAAATGGAGCAGTGGGAGTGATCTTAACGCTTTTGTTGTTTCTTACTTGCTTTTTCTGCAGGTCCACTATATCCTGCAGGAGGTTGTGATGGGAGGTATGGTACTGGAGACCAACATGAACGAGATAGTTGCACAAGTGGAGGTGCAAAACCGCATGGAAAAGTCAGAGGTCAGGCCCTGTCTGTCATGATAAGAGGAATGTCTGTTTTTTATCATTTGTGGGGGTTTTCTTCTCTTAACTCACACTTCAGACATGAACTTTAGCAGAGGTAGTAGTGGTAACACCAATACAACTTAAAGCTTCCATGTATTTAAGGCTCAATATTTACTGGGCTAACTAACATCAGTCTATATTTGGGCTATAATTGCGATACATGATATCTATCATATATTTAAATTACCTTCAAAAACAGGAGTGCATAAAATTGCACTGATATACTCATTAAAACCTTTGGTTTCACATTTAATGTCAGCATTAGACCTTTAACAAGATCCCAGCAACCAAACAGGAAACAAAGCAAAAACACACAACTGAATAAAATGTAAAATAAAGAAGGGCTCTTTTGTGCTTAATAAAAAAAAAAATGCAGAATGAAAAAAAGAAATTGACCTCAAATTACAAAAAGAAAAGTGGAAATACTGTCCAAAAATTACAGCATTATCAGAGCATCTCAAAACTATTAGCATTGAGCTTTATGTTCTGGGAATTTTAAAGAAGCAGAAAAAGTTGTAAAACTGAGAACATTACCAAGTTTGGAAAATGGCTGAAAAACCTCAGAATAAGACGGCGTCACATCACAGGTATTAGATCATCTGATAAACATTTAAATAACGTAATATATAGCTGCTGTGCTTTCCCTCCATATCTTCCTTCTTCACTCATAACGGGTCGCTTTTTCCAACGGCGAGGCCAACGTCTTTGGCTTCACAGCTGATTTATTTAGTGTTTTTAATTGGTCAGCAGCGAGACGAGGACATGCGGAGTTTACAACATTCATTAACTTAACTTTTTAGGTGTTGGAATATATTTTTACTATCTTTTGCAGCAGTGCTTTTGTTCGAAGTCCTCGATGTGAGATCCAAAGCTCTGCCATACATTGTTCAGCTGAAACGCCTGCTGTCGGCCTCTGCTTTAGTTTTATCAATGGCGCCCTCTGGTGGACAAAGGCAACATTGCAATACTGACCTTCTGAAGCCTCTTTCCCACTGAAATTAGTGGGTTAACGCTTGTTTTTCAAACAAGGCTCGACCCGCTAGCAATCAGCATTTGTCTCCCTTCATGCAGGGTTATTGTCGATGATGTCATCAGTGCGACAGAAATCAGGAAATTAAACAATGGAGAGCAACATGACAAGAAGACGGGGCGTAGAAAATGTGCTTCATCGTTTCGTTCTTTTGTCCGTCCGTCTCTCAAACCATGTTTATCGAATGTAAACAGATTTGTTTCGGCTTGTTGGATCAGAAGCGACTGCCGCCATGTTGTGACGTCCATTCTTTGCACTCAGTGGTATCACATGAATTAGGTAGTCGACCTGGGTCTGACTACTGTTTGCTGACCGAAGTCTGGCCGATCTGGCCGTTTAAGGACGATCTAACCCCGGGTCACTTAGCGAGTCGTTAGACAGTGAGCTGTTCCCACCGCCACTAAAACCTGATCTTTCCTTGGTTTTAAAATGAGTTTTTGTGTGCTGCTGTGGTTCCTGTCTGAATAAAAACAACAAAATAAAGGCCGCTAGAGCCTGAAAATAATTTTTGGCCTCTATGAAAGTGGTATAAGTGATATAGGATCAAACAAATTAAATGTAATGAACCATTAAGCGACGTTTAATCATATTTAAGTTTCTCGTATGACATGTAAATAGTAGAACCATAAAACAGAATCGCTACAGAGATGAAACAAACCTGTTGGGTTTCTGACAAACAAACCAATCAGAGTCACTTAGATTTTTTTTTTTATCAATTTTTGCCACAAATGATTTTGCTGGTATAAAAGAGTTCTGAGGCTTTGTTTGGGAAGAGTTAAGGTGTAACATTCAACCTTTTTTATTTATTTATTTTTTTTACTCCGTGTTTTCAGCTATTTCCCTTCTTTTCAGTTTGTAGTTCTGTTCTCTAAGCTCTCTGTTGGATGCTCAAATCCTGGCTAAATGTTTTCCAACTTAACCCAGCTTAAATCTTCTCCTCTACCTCATCCCTGACCTCTCTGGGTTTCTTGAACAAACCCTTCAAAGGCCTCCAAAGAACAGCTGTATTTATACAGCAAATAAATTACAAACACTGGCACATTGGGCACGTAGGGGGCTTCTTTTCCAGAGAACTATAGCAGAATAATGTTTGCAGCAAACACATTTGAACATTTATTTTCTGCTCTTACTGTTACATTTGCTCAAAGAAAATCAAACAGAGTTAAAAGAAAGAAGACAATAGAGTCAAGTAATCCGTATAAACCAGGAGAATCTCTCTGTAAAAGGCCTTGAAGGTGTTTTCTGTCCTGCTTTTTATGCGCAGGGCGGTCTGTCGGCGGCCCCTGCTCGCGCCGTCTCTGCCGTGAAGAACATGAACCTGCCAGAGATCCCTCGCAACATCAACATTGGAGACATCAATATAAAAGTGCCAAGCCTCTCCCCGTTCTGAGGAGCGTTCCCGCTGCGCTCTGCAGGGCCCGGAGAACTCTGCTACCAAAAGCAGCGCTGCAGCTCACGTTGACAGCACTGGTTTTTATTCTTAACTTAATGAACCACAACAGCTTAACCTTTCCTTCATGCAGATTTACCTGATTTAATATATTTGCACACTTAAAGTTTGATTCTTGAAATCATCCAATACATTTTCTGCTGCTTGAATCATTGAATTACTCCAAATAAATAGAAATCCTCTCAGCCCAGTGTGAATTTTCCCACTCTGACCATCTGCTCTTATTTTAAGTAATTCTCAGCAGATTAAAAAAATGTAATTTTCTGACTTTTATTAGACGTCATTCAGTCCAAGCGTGACGGGATCCTTTGACTTCTGTGCTGAAATCATTTAAACTTTGTCTTCAGATTGTTTTCTCCCCTGTAATTTATCATGTCTCTGTTATAACTCCTGATGAATGTTTCCTTCCTGGGGGCGAACAGTGATGATGTAAACGCTGCCTGGTTCCAGCCAAATCTCAGCGTGCTGTCAGAGGGGGGGTTGACATCTTTTTAGCGAGAAAGCAGATGTTTTGTGTTTCTATCAATGTTTTGTGTCCTATTTTGTTAGAGATCTTGTGAATTCTAATGGAAAATAAACACGTCTTGTTGTCAAAGACATTCCTTTGCTAAGGTGAAGTAAATAAACACTTAGAAATATTTAAAAGTGTCCTGATGTGATTTAAACAAAGGCTGGAATCCAGAGCCGTCTTCACCTTCTGCTTGAACAGCTTGCAGAAGCTGCAGCTTTTTTCCGCATTCTTTCTCACCTCTGTTCCAGTTATTTAGAGGGGATTTTTTTTTTAAATGAGGGAGTCTTTTACTCCCTGACGTTCTCAGAAAAAAAAAAAACCTGTGCTAGCTCTCACCGCCTCCCACTATCAGGCTCACAGATGCTGACCACAAGCTTGAACCGCAGATCTCTCCTGCTGAACCTCCACGTCAGAGCGGGACGCACAGAGGCCATCCAGGGATTGGTATGTACGGTGTTCGCTCCACAGGTTGCTGAAATCTGTCCACAGCTATTCTTTAATGTTTCACAGATATTTAAACGGAACCCCGCTCTAACCGTCTTATCTGTAACTAAGCTTTCTAAGGGCTGGAAAGCAGCTGAAGTTTTTCTAATAGAGTTTTTACAAGTGAAGCATAATTGCATAGTTGTAAATACATTAAAATAATTCCATAAAATAGAAAGTAAAATAATTTCCCTGCCTTCTAAAGGGAGATTAGTTAGTTTATATGAATTGGACCAAATAGGAAAAGGATTATTTTTGTGTTTAGTTTGACTTCAGGCTCATGTCTCCTGTCTATGGTGGAGTTTCTGGATCCAAACCCTGCTGCTCGGCATCATGCTTATTTCACTTGGTGATGATGATGAAGATGATGTTAAGCAAAAACTACCCAATGTGTTGCTGAAGCAGCCTCTTTATAAAGCTCTATCGTTCCTTTCACCAGGTCACATGTGCACACCCTGCCCTTTTGTTTTAATTCCTCTTTTTTTTTTAACACTGAAAATATGTGACTTTGAGGTCCCAAGAAAAACATTCCCACTCGCCAGGATTATGCTGCTCTTTGTTGGCAAGGAGTACCGGCACTGATTTATTTGGCTGCTGTTGGATGTCAACTTGGTGCAGAGGGACATGTTGGAAACACTGAAAGGGAAAACATGTTGGCGATCAATTATTAACTGAAACAATATGCTCTGATCTGTTATATTAATTACCCTAAAGGTTATGTTTAGTATGACCCTGATAGAACATAGATACATAGAATCAACAACATTTTCTTGCTAGCTTGGAACACTGCAGATTCTCCTCTAAATCATTAACAAAAATGGACACGGTCTGTTATCTCTCTCCTGGAGGAATCCATCACAGGAACGGCTAAACAGGGTTCCCACGGGTCCTTAAAAAGTCTTAAAAGGCATTGAATTCTTCAAAATAAGAATAAGGCCTTAATTGGTATTAAAATGTCTTAAAGCTACAGTGTGTAATAATAACAGGGATATACAGTCAGAAATGTAATATATTACCGTATACATAACTATGTTATTTATCATCATCTACGAGCTCAGCCTCTTAACCTTAATATTTGCGTTGCCTTAGAATTC